ATTGCAATTAGTAGCAAGGTAAGTATGGAATATATTATCATTGGCATCATTGAGAAACCCGCAATGATAGGGACAGTTGTTAGTAAAGGCTTAGCTTCTGCACCACCTACAGAAAATATTTGGAAAGGTAGAGGATTAAGAGCAGAAAGTTGTGGTTCTTTTGAAACATATTTACTCACTCTTTCTTTCATATCATTCGTAAGAGGAGACTCATACTCAGCTGATCTTTCTGAGACTACTTCATTATCTTTCTTTAATACTAAAACTCGGAGGTGAGAATTTTCTTCTATCAAATTTGATTGCGCTGAATATAATCTATCTAATTCCCGTTTATATATAATATCTGTTGCCTTGATCCTCTTTTCCATACATTCTATTTCGTGTTTTTTTGAATTTAAATCCTCCTTTACCCATCCCAATTCAAGCCTGAGAGAATTGATTTCAGATAAGTTTATTTGGGCTGGCTCCTCTAGTAAGCCTTCTACTATATTTGAACCTTGGGATATAGGTGGTAGGGAACTCACTCATTCTAGTTCTAGGTGCTTTACTTTAGCTTCCAATTCATCTATCTTAGCTTCAAGAAAAATAATCTTGACCTTATCGAGGGATGATGCTTTCTGGGCCAAGGTTGCTTCTTTCTTCAATGATTCTATCGAAGATTTGAGTGATTTTATTTCGGCAGAATGTTCAACTTCAAGCCCATTACAGGACATCTGTTCAGAAGTAATTTGGGATCTAAGCCTAGTATTAACTGCATTTATCTGGCTAATCTTATTTTTAACAACAGCGTTAATTTGGTGAAACTTCTCCTCTTGCTCCAAATACTCTGAAATTCTAGCCAACAGCCCTTCACTAAGATCATTAATTTCGGCCTTGGATCTAAAAGCAGAATATAATTTTTTTTTGAGCTTTTCTTCATATGCACTATCTAACCAATGCCCGACCTCTTTAGAACCCTCTCTATCTTTTATATCTTTCAATATATGCATATTAGATATAATCTTGGCGTGGTTACATAGAAAAAAAATATATTGCATTTTTTTTTCGATCTCTTCCTCATATGCACTACCCAGCCGATACCTAGGATTGAACAATTAAAGTATTTAAATATAAGCAGTAAAATTTTTAAGGATAATGGATAGCATTGATACTTCTAATACTCCCAATATACTATGTAGTACTGTTACTTCGTATAGTATTAATTTTTTATGTATATTTTTTTATTAATACCACAGATGGTTTCTATAGAATAAATAGAACTAATCCTTCCGATACTCCGCATAATACTGGTTTTTCGTATAGTTTTGATTGTACATATAGTACATATAGTCTACATAGTATTAATAATTTTTATATATTTTTTTAAATAGTATGAAAATCTAATAGATATCAATATGGTTAGAAGGCATATGCGCTTTGATGCTACAAAATTATCTATTACAGATTATGAAGACATCATGCAATACCATGATATGAAGTCCAAGCCTCTAGAACAATTAAGAAAAAAATTTCATATATCAACTTTTTGTTTATATCAGATTTGGAGAGAGGAGAAAGTAAGAAGAGTTGAATGAAACTATTCGTCAGTTCTACTTTCCTATTCAAATACAAATACAATAGATAAACAGGATATACCAGAAGCCACTATGTTACTGGAAAATATGATCCAAGATATTTTACTAGAATATAATACCTCTTCAGATAGCAAAAAAAAGACTGGAGGAAAAAAACTCAAGTCTAAATCTATCACCATTTCTGAATCATTTATTATCCAGAATCAGCTAACACCAGTAAGCAGGTGTTCACAAAGTGAAACCATCACCTTGAAAGATTTGAATATTAGCAAAGAAGATCTGCATACATATTATAAAAAAAAAGCTAGGCGGGATAAAAAAATTAAAGCTAAAATACGTTGTAAATTAGCTATATAAAAGATGTTTTCTGCTACATGCCTCTATGATAGCCTATTTAGTTTATCATAGTATACTAATAATTTCTCGTATAATTTATTGAGATACTCTTTAGACTTGAGAGTATCATATAACAGTTTTTCAAGCTCCTCATAGCTTATGCGTTTTTTTTAAATATATCATCACTTACGTCCTGCAGATCCTGAGAAATTTTATCTGAAGTCGTGGAATCATCACATTCAGAAGTAATATTTGCACAATTCACTTCAAGCTTGTTTTTGATCTTGTGTATAGTAACTGGAATAATGTAATCCTTTCTATTGAAGGGAATCTTCAACTCATTTTTATCACAGTCCACTATGCATCTATATTTCTTTAAAAGCTGGTTAGAAAATATTAGTATCGGCTTGTGATAATCTACAACTACAAAATCTTCATGAATAGTGAGTTCTGGGGTTAAAGTAATAGACAGATTGTGGACAACACCAATAGATTCAATCGGAACAGTAGCTATACCGCTAAGGTCATGTTTTTCAGATTTGTCTATTTTAGCCTTAACATGATCAACAATGTTTTTTGTTATAAGTGGAGGCTCAGCTCCAGAATCAAAAGTCATAGCTGGAATCTTTAAACGCTTAATTTTATACTTCACAGTAGCGACGCTTGTTTTTGGCTCCTTTTTCTGGACGAAATCAATTTCCATTGGATCATCCAAACACTCTTCCTTCTCTAGACTGGACTCATCCGAAGTTGAATCCTTGGAACCTGGAGAGGTGTTATTTATCTTCTCCTGTATTTGTTCTGACACAACGGGACTAGAATCAGAATTAGCATTTGGGGGAATATTGTGGGAAAAATTAGTTTAAGTTCACTTTGGAGGATTTTACAAATAGTTTCCTCCAATGAAGTTTTAGACATCTTTTTAAGGGACGATTTTTTGGAGCTGGAGTTTTGCTTTACTTTTTTTTAACTTAGCTATGTTAACGATGATATCACCTCCAGAATCAGAAGAATCCTCTGAACTTGTATCAGAGTCAGAACTGTCACTAGATAATATATTAGTGGTAGAATCTAAATCTGAGTCTGAATCTACAGTGGTTAGGTTAACCTTACCCTTTCTAGACTTCTTGCTTTTCTTTTTCTTCTTTCAAGGGCAGTTTCAAGAATTGTGACCAGACCTTCCACACTTAGAATATTTGTGGCCTAAATAGGATTTCTTAATAGCATGTTTGACAGCAGTATTTATAACACTATTTAATATTAATCCTGCTAAGCTATCTGAAATATCATCTACAGGATCATAATTATTTTCATCGGCAGGATGTATATATAGTTTTTTTCTTAGTAAGTCACTCAAAAAATATATAACAGCAGTATTTTCTACTCTTTTATCAGTTGATTTTTTACTATTATCTAGAGTTTTAGTCGCTCGAGACATAGTCTCTTGCAAGGATTTAGCTACAGCTTGTAAATCAGCCTTAGTAATATTTTCCTAACCAGAAGAAGATGCTGGTGATTGATTTAGCATTGATTGCTGTAATGTCTGAATCCTACTATTTACAATCCTATCAACATCTTCTGTAGTAATATCCTGATGAAAAAGCGCTTTTGGTTTTGTCTTAGTAGCTAGCTAGTTATAAATATCCTTACCCAAAAGCATATCATTCTGTTCCAAGGTTTCAATCAAATCGTTATTCAAAGGTCTGTTTAAATCTAATCGCTTCAATTCTAACTTGTTTTCAGGAGACAAGCCACATATAAATTGTATTTTTTTTTCACAATCAGATATTCGGGCCCAGCTAGCATATTTATCTATCTTTCTATAGTAATCTCTAACTGAATCGAATCCTTGAGTCAAAGTACAAAAAATCATTTGTTGTTGCTCTCGAACAACTGTAGGATAATTTCTTTTAAACCAATAGATAACCTGACTAATATTGATATCAGAGAGAACTATATAGTTATTATTATTTAAAACTCTATTTGGTGTATTAGTTGCTGTACTAGCATTTACAGGATACCCCCTAGCAAGAGACCAATCCTCATCCATATGAATATTATATGCTGAAATAACTGTAGCACCAGTAGCTCCACCTGGTAATGCTGGTGGTAGAGTACTATTTGGTGCATTAATCATGGCGGCCATTATGTTAGCATTATTTAGGGCCACTATGGCGGCCATATTTGCTAAAGCATTCCCACATCTTACATGATTCAATCACCATTTTTTATCTATGAGTTTGTCTTCGACCCAACGTGATGGCTTACCTGTCAAGCATGACCGAAATAGTTCTAAAGCTCTCTGTTTGCTGGCCGCATTAGCAGTATTAATATTGGCCACCGTAAGATAAAGTCTGTAATCTTTTATGAATTTATCTATATTTTCATCTGCTCTACCTGAGAATCTTTTGGGTACATACCCTGCCATTTCTATTTGTTGTATATTAAGTAGGTTATTCTGTAGCACAAAAATTTGTTGATTTAAAATTAAAATATTCTGGTGTTCTGCATGAGTTTTATTTTTCTATTTCTCATATCGCTCATAGAGTCTGTCTCTATTATATTCTAACAAATCTCTATCGGCTCTGCATCGTTGTAGGTGGTGGGCATTTTGTTAATATAAGATTTGTAAGGCAAATTTTTCCTGTAGTAATACACAAATACGGATTCGCTTTCCTGTTATATTGTCTAACATTCTGTTTACTTGATTCTGAGTATTAGTTCACAACTGATCACACTCCTGCATCGCTTGATCACGCTCCTGCCTGTATATATCATAATTCCATCGTTTATTTACTAAATCCTGTTGCAGGTTAGCATATTTTCGTCAGATTGATCTTGTTGCCCTCTTAATTTGATTTTTTAAAATAGTTGGACATATTGTTGTATCATCTAGAGAGCGGTCTATAGCATCGGCTAATTCAGCTATTGTACCCATATCTAAATTTTGATCGAAATTATAAATATCTAAAGAATACTCATCAGAGTTGGATTCATTTTCGTTAATGTTCTGTGTTTCTGCATTTTGCAAAGCCTCTCTGGTATTTATAAGCTTCAATCTGTCTCTATATCTTAATAAGGATAATGCAAAATTTTGACAAAGCAGGTTTGTAATATGGCTTTTTTGTTGAGTTATTTTGTTAATCCTATTTATTTGATTAGTTCTTACCGTATTTATTTCTCGTTTAAGCTGTTCATTCTCATTCACTAATCTTGTTGTATAATCTTGTGTTTTGGAAGTGTTACCCGCAGATTTTGATATCTCCGTATTCGATTTTTTAATTTTGTTTCATGTTTATCGAATTCTGATATTAATCTATCTTTATTGGAAATTTCTTTGTCTTTCTTTTTATTTTCTTCCTCGAGTTGATGAACGATTCTTTTTAGTTTTGAGATTTCTTCTTTTAACTCCTCTTTCTCTTCTATAGAAGCTTTGATGGTATTGTTTAACTCTTCAAGAAATCATATTCTCTCTTCCCGTATGCTGATAATTCTTTCTAAGGTATATAGTCGTTGTTCAAAATTCCTATTTGATTCTGCTAATTGCGATATTACCTCATGGAGTTCTTGATTACTCTGTTGTAATTTCTTCATATTTTTTATTTACTATTGTCAAATAAAGTAATGGAAAAACCAGTTATCTATATCGATCCTGATGAGGCCCAAAGAATCGAAAAAATCTTATATTGCGTGATATATATTATCGTCTACCTGGATATTATTCTAACCCTAAATCCTTAAGAGATGTATGCAAAAAAAAGGGGCATCGATTTCATTTAAGTGAATGTAAAGATTTTTTGGAATGCCAGCAATCATACCAAATCTATATACCTCCACCTAAACATATTCCTAGAGTCAGTTATGGGAAAATAACACAACCAAATTATGTACATCAAGCCGATATATTATTTCTCATGCATGATAAATATAAGGGAAAAATATATAAAGCAGTGCTTAATATAATAGACTGTGCCTCCTGATATAAAGCATCAGTTCCGCTTACCTTAAAGAAGAGTTCAGAAGTTGCTAAAGCATTTAGAAATGTATATAATGACCCTAATAATCCTCTTAACTATCCTAAGTTACTTCAAACAGATAATGGGCGAGAATGGGTAGACGAGACTTTCTGATTGATGCAAGAGCACAATGTCATGATTAGAGTAGTAGGGCCCTATAGTCATAGAGGTCTTGCAATGGTGGAGCGTTTTAATAAGATGGAAGGGGATATACTCTATAAGATTCAGTATGCTGTTGAGTCTATATCTTCCGATTCAAGATTAATAAGAGCGTGGGTTAGATATTTGCTGAAAGTTATCGATTATCTGAATAACTACCCACATGTCTTATTAGAGAACCAGAATCAGAGAAGTGGGGGCTTGAGCCTGTGAAAGCCATTGTATTAGAACGAGTAGAATCTAGACTATCAACAAAATATAAGCGACCTATTGGCAAGGATGAAATAATATTAAAGAAAGGTAATTCTGTCCACTATCTTCTTGCCAATGCTAAATGGGAAGGTGGGATGGAAGCAGTGCATAGGAGCACTGATCTTATATGGTCACCTTCTATTCATAAAATCTGAAAAATCATAGTGTTAAAAAATGAGCCTGTCTTATATTATCTCGAAGATGATGAGTTTTCACCAAAGTGAGGATTCATGAGAGAAGAACTCATGTATTTGACTCATGATCTTGAGCTTTCCCCTCAAAGTATATTATCCGTACATATTGTATATGCCTTCCTACCAATAATGAGTTAGATCAAGCGAAAAATTATGCTAAAAAGCGAAATGATCAATATCTAGAAAAGACTGGACGAATAAATGGTCATAACACATATCTTTGGTCTTGTAGAAATGGTGCGCATCAGTGGGAGTACTCACTAAAATATATCATGAAAAACTCAAGTGGTGTCTCTTATGCCACCATACTACTAAAAGAACTGTACGATACATTTTCAAGGATCTACTAGGTAAGAAATTTTCATCATGTAGGCTTAAATTTTTGGATAGGATGCATCTCGATGGGTATAACGAAGAATTAAAACTAGCTTTTGAGTACCAGGAACTCCAGCACTATACTCTTAATTCAATGTTTCATAAAAGAGGAGGAATAGATTTGAATGAACAAATATCTCGAGACCAAAAAAAGCAAGACCTATGTAAAAAAGAAGGTATATGTCTTTTCTTGGTACCCCATACATGTGATCTTTTTCTCTACATTAGGCATATGCTAATTGAGAAAGGATTCTTGAATGAAATAAAGCCTAGACCTTGAAATTTTACTAAGAAATTTTACTTCGCTTAATATACTATATTATTAGTAATACTTAGTTTCAACAATATGAAAGTCGAAAAGCTTGATCCAGTAGATAGAATCGTTTTCCATGTTGATGAGATAAAAGATGCGAAAAAATTTAACGCATTGAACTCAACGCCTCAATGGCCCTTTATATTATTAGTCAGTGGTCACACCAATTTGGGAAAAACTAACGAAGTTGTCAACCTATTATTGGGAAATAAGCTTTATTGAATGTTCAACGGAAAAAAAGGAGGGACCAGATATATTTTGAATGATGATTTAGTACTTATTAGCCACCATCTTAAGGAACCAAAATATTTATACCTTAAATCAGAATACCAGATTATTGCAAATAGCACAGAATCATATCGTGAAGATATAATATTTCGGGCGATGAAACCTGATAAAATTCCAAAGCTGGAATCATTTTTTCCAGAAAGGGGTACAGTAGTTATATTCGAAGACTTATGTGCTGATTCAAAAAAGGTCCAGAAAAAGATTGTTCCTTATTTCACTGAAGGGTACCACAAAAATATAAGCCCAATTTATATAACGCAGAGCTTTTTTGACTATCTGAAGATAATAAGAAAAGAACTAAATTATATAGTACTCTTCAATAGATCTACTTTAGATGAACTAGCCCGTATTCTTCGCCTATATGCTAATGATTGGTGTAGCATATATGCAGATATCGATAACTATTTGTGTGATCGGAATTTCATTGTCTTCGATTTAACAGTACCTCGAAATCATCCTCACTGAATATGAAAAGGATAGGATACGCCATTCACCAAAATTTTGTCATAGCTAATAAAATTTATTTTCGCATTTATGAATTAGCTTGGATTAAAATCTTTTAATTAGTAAACCCGTATAAATTTGAATGATAATATTCTCCTTTAATATTAAAGAAGAATCACTAAAGAAAAAAGAGATTAATTAAATCAGACAAAGCTAAGTGATAATGGCTAAGAAATCGAAAAATAATCAGTGCAAGGCAATGAATAAGTTTACTACTTGCCCCACACAGTACATACCACTATGCAATCCAAATAAATATGAGTACATATATGATCAGGCAACTAACTTTATCATTGTTAAAAATATAAAACAAGATAGAGTCATAGGCATGTTCAATTATCCTGAATTATGTGAATATCTGGAAGTAGCAAATCTATTAAAAAATGTTCGTAGAATATTTCGACAATTACTGCGCCCTGGTGACATGGTTTCCTGTCTCGGCACTAGAAAAAAGTGTTTTTGTGTAGTCGTATTTTTGATATTGTCTACCGTTTTTCTAATGCTATTCTTGAGATCATAATTAGAAAATATAATTTATACATTAGTATTTATTTGCAATATATGCAAAAAAGAAATAAAAATCTATGAAGTGTATATTAACAATTACTTACATTTTTTTCATTTTCAGCTATATACAAATTTGAATCATGATATTCCTTGATATAGGTTGATAAAGAATCGCTAAAAACACTATAAATTGCTAAAAATGCTATAAATCGTTAAAATACTAAAACAATAAATTATTAATAAATATGTCTAGTCAAACTCCTAAAATCATTATAGATGAGGTTTTTAATAAATTGGTACCCAAACCAATTAATCTTCGTCCAGAATATGATTTGGAATATGTTAAAAAATATTATGTGAAATGTGGTAGTTATAACTATAATTGTGTTGAAAATATATGCAAACTAGAAAAAAGATACAATGATTTAGCTATTATTAGACCTTATGAAACACCTCAACAGTAGGCTATTTGTATAAAAGATGACTTGCAAGAGTTACATTCTAGAGAAAGGCATAGTATATTTCATACACACTGCCTTTTCAGTTTATTTGGACAAGGATCAATTAGGACATACCTTGAAAATCACAGACCGAAAATAGAGCATATCAGCTATCAAAGACCCAAAGTTCATAAAAGTCAGATAGCTATATGTTTCAAATACTGGAGATTAGTAAAGATTACTGAAGTAGAACCAAAAAAGGTATATTGGGAAAGATGGCGTAGATTAGGCTACAAGATTAAATCTGAGAACTTGATGCAAAATCACTAGGATAATAAATGCTCCAAAACTAAAACCCAAGATGGAAATGCATGCCTTATCCAAAATATTGTACCAATCAAGACTATGAAAAGCTTTACGGCTAGTTTGCTCAATGAGACATATTTATTGACTTCTCCGCTATTACCTCCAAAGCCTTTTGCATACATACAGCGCAGGGCAGGTGTATCTAGCTTTATTGATGTTGATGGGTACTGGGCTTCTGTGCGAAAAAATACAAGGAAAGAAATAGACTTAATATCTTTTGACTGAATATTAATATTAATTACCTCAGATATAGTATATTTACTTTTTTCGCAATCCAATCGAGGTTTTGTATTTATGTAAATTTCGAGGTGGATACTTTCAAACTATTTCTTATCCTGTAGCTCAGTGGACTAAATCGCGGAAAGCTCATTGGGTCTTTCTCTCCTCGCTACGTAGACAATTATAGTCTAACAATCGCGCTCTCTATGATAGTGTTTTTATAAATATAAAAAAACAAAGTCAAAGGCCCTATCACCTAAAGTTATAGATGAAATTTTTTGCATGACTATCAGAGAAAAACTATAGTGAAGTGGATATATTCAACCTATTTTTTATCTTGTAGTTCGGTAGACTAAACCGCAGGAAGCTCGTTCGGTTTTCCTTTTCTTACTACGTAGACAATGATAGTTGACGATCACACCCTCAAAGGAGTGTCATTATAATAATAAAAAAAATTGCAGAGAGGTAATAGTTAGATTCTAGGCCCGTCTTGAAAGGCTATAACTTCACCTGAAAAGACTATATTATTAAGGCAACTAGATTGTGCATTTTGTGGAACAAACAACTACCTTCATCAAAGTACTGAGCTACCAAACAGTAATTATGAGTATGTTAAACCTCACAATACACATAGTCAGAGGCCCTATTGCCCTACCTTCTCGCAATGTTTCCTTAAAGGAAACTATAGTTAGTTAACAGATTTTTAGTTTCTGAAACAGTTAACTATATATCTTTTTTCGAGCTTGCCAGAAAAAAGGTGGATCACATTAAAAAAATGGTAGACAACTAATCGTTTTCATTGTTTTTTTACCAACTAACTCAACACTTTATTGATATAAAAAATATAAAAATACATTACATTTCTATAAATCTAGAAACAGATCTTCTGCCTTCAACCCATGCCTAGCATGTACCAAAGAAATATGATACTTTCTACAATTCGTTGATGAGGGAAAAATTGTTATTTGTCCTTTTTTCGGTTTAAAAAACATAGTTCAGGAATTCAAACCTTGAGCATTATTGAGATTTTGATGTTTAATAAAAAGAACATCATGCCTATCAGTATTTTTCTCAATCCCATCCTTCAAATCATCATATACATCATCAAATTTTCATAGATTATGAAAAAAGATATCATGTACAAAGTACACGATACTATGGCGAATACCTTTTGTAAGTAGAAAGTTGCTATGGAGTAGAAGATGTGAGAAAAATGCTACAGCTTGTCCAGGCTGAAGCGGTATAATGATCTGGAGTTGAGGGAAACATAATTCTCTTCTCTCAAATTCTCCAAGGGTGACTAAACAGCATAAACTATTTGGTTCATCATGTTCATCCCAATGGTAATCGCTAGTTGTATTGTAATTAATAGCGATCATCAGGAAGATTCCAAAAGGTCAAGGTGCGAAGAGACCCCATGCCAACTTCTCTAGTTTTTTATATAAATTTCTATAGAATTTTTGTACAAATTCTTTGACAGAGGTTGATAATGAGCCAAGATTGCGAAGTAAAGTGTTAATGCATTCTTGATATGCGGTATTATGAGAGCTTGCGATATTTAAACTAGTAAATAGGAGAAGGTTATTTCGTGTATATACACCAAAATGTTCTATGAAATTTTTTCAAAATTTATCACTACAATAGGAAGTGTTATTTAGGGTGTGAAAATAATAATAGTTTACAGCATCCGTTGCTTGTATAACCACTCTTGGATTATTTAGTAATGCCAAGTGTACTAAGGTTCTACCTTCTATATCTGTAACATACTCTGAAACGGTTAAATGGCGAAGTTTTACTAATTTTTTAAATGAACAGAGATTACCCCAGGCAGATATTATTAAATGGGCTTTTTCTTTTTGAGAAATATATGAGGTGGTTTTTAAAATGTCCTGTGATTTATTGTTTTGAAAATCAACAGCATATTTAAGATCTATCCATTTAGACCGAAGATGACGATGCACACCTCTTCTTATAACCGGTTCTTCCATCATCAACTAGTGACCAAGAGCGACCCATAAACGTTTATTTTTTGCATTATCAGTATAGGAATTGGCATCATCATGCCCTCCATTTTAATTATTTCTTTATCTACTAATAGAAGGAAATTAGGCAGGACATCGGACAACTCAATATTATTAGCTGACCTTGCCTCTTGAATTAGCATGTCGACTAAAAGATCTTTGGATAAAATTTCGTCGCAAATTTTGACACCCCCCAATGATATACGATCCGACAGACAAAGAGGACACTCTTCCATTCATTTTCAATATAATGAATTTTATCACGTGTACACAATCCCCGAGTTGCATATTGGGTCCGGTGCTAATATAATAGAAAATAAAATTAGATATCTGATGCAATTACAGTTGGCCCTCTCAGAACCGGTATGCATGGTGGACAGGTTTAGTATCAGAAATAGCAGGTTATCGGTTATTACTTATGGAACGGATATTTGGTGGATTGATTTTAAACTGATTTTGGCAGGTTATTGGTTTTGACAGGATCGGTTCTGAGAGGGCCGACTGTATCGATATAAATGATTATATAAATCTGCACTAAGTTGTATATTTTTTGCAGACTGAACAAACCACCCAAGCCAAAGTACTGAGCCATCAAAATGATGATTATGCCCTTTCGAATACATAATATACAGAAGCCAGAGGCCTTAGTTGCAGAGCAACAATTTTTTGCATAGCTTAAGTATACTTGTAGCAAGTAACTTGGACGATTAATCGATCAACACAAAAATAACCCAGGCATGAGAGAGTAAAACCGGATTCTAAGGCAAAAATGATATATACCCAATTTGGATCAAAAATAATATCGCTAGTTATCAATGGTAAAATCGGTCTTGACACATTATAATCCATCAACAAGGCTGAATTTTGTTCTTTCTCAAGCTTTTGTTTTTTATTATAGTGAGCATGACGTGACAACTTTTTGACTGGTTTCTCTTGGAACGTGTTAATAAGGTTAGGAATTTCATTTTTACACTTCTCGATAGATGCTTGCATTGTATTTGAATTTTAAGTTATTAACAGGTAGAAATTTATAGCAAATAAAACGACGTATAACGAAGTATAAAAAAAAGGTCAAATAAATTATAAGCGTCTATGTTGGGAGGCACCCCTTTTATTAGAAAATACAATTATAACTAAAGGTATAGTTACTCCAACGCGTGTTAATTTATCAATTTGCCAAATATTTTTTTATCACGGCATTGTATGTTGCAAAACATAACTTGACGATTTAACATTTTGCAATTACAGAGTGCACTTTCTAAAAAATAGTAATTCGTCAAAACAATGGTTAGCACGTTGCTTTATTTGACATTATATAATAGACATGGTAATTTTCTAACAAACAATTGCGTGTTTACCAAATTCGGCACCACAATTATTGGACACGGCAATTCAATCAACAATCGCACGTTTTCTATATTTGGGATTAGATAGTTAGCAGATATTTGGTTATACGGGGTACGGTAATAATTTTACACGCTATATATCCCAAGCCCGATTTACAAATTTAGAATAACCGAATTGTAAATACAGATGCAAGTAAATATTGATTTGACGGTCCCACGGGTCCGCACAAATTCTTATCGCATAAATTTTGTGCCTCTGACGGCCTCCAGAGGCCGTCGGAGTATAGTTAGTTAACTATTAGTTAACAACTAACTAATATTTTTATATTTTTATAGCGATCACTTGATATTCAGGTTTATCAGTTCGAATGTGCGATAAAAACTTGACCGGCTTTAATAATCAATGGCCTGCATTAAATTTTATGCGGTGTTACCCCCTTTTTTCTCGCAAGCTCGAAAAAAGATATATAGTTAACCAAGGAATTTATTGTTAGCCAAATATATCTGGCTTCGAGCAAGTATTGCGAGAAGGCGGGCTATAAGGGCAATGAGTATAACGTTCTTTATCAGTAGTTTTATCAAAATTCATATGTTACGGGGACTTCGAATCTCCGCCATCTCCGAGATCTAGCCTACTCTAAACGATCAGCAAATCTAGGGGTCATATTTTAACTAAAAAAAATGGCAAAATAGATTCAGCATTTGGAACTTATGACCGAGTAGACTTGCTTTACAT